CAGAGCATCAACTTGTGATTGCTTTTTTTTTTTTTTTTTTTTGGGTCCGGTCGTGGGGCCTGAACTCTGGGCCTGGGCGCTGTCCCTCAGCTCTTCAGCTCAAAGCTAACGCTCTACCACTTGAGCCACAGCGCCACTTCTGGCTTTTTTCTTTTTTCTTATGTGGTGCTGAGGAATCAAACCCAGGGCCTCATGCATGCAAGGCAAGCACTCTACCACTGAGCCACCTTCCCAGCCCTTGGATTGCTTTTTATAACCATTTTTCCCCTCAATCTTCTAAGATGGAAATTCTGCAGAATTCCTCAGTGTCTGTCTTTGCTGAAACTGATTTTTTGGGGGGTTACAGGAGGTGCCATGAAGGTACCCATTGCTTTAAAAAGAAACTCCCTTCTCCCACTCATCTTGGCCTGCTTTCCTGGAGATCAGTAAGCTCCTTCAAACAGGCACCAGGAAAGATATGACTTGTTAATGTTACCATATTACTGGTGGGAAATTAAAAAACCAAGTATACTTTCCTAAAGGAAATTAAAAGGTAGTTCTTTGTAGGATTAGGAGAGGAGGCACACTGATAGTCCCAGCACACTTAGAACAAAGTGCTTTAATAAACTTCCTCAGTGTGAGATCTTAAGGAAACAAAATTAGAAAGCAGAGAAATGAAAGGAATAAAACAAGCAGACAAGCCACTCCTCTGAAGAGTAGTTTGCCAGGACTGGCAGAAGTCACCAGGGACTTGAACTCTCAGTTCTGCCCAGGTGTTATGCCCTGCTTCTAACCCTACCTCAGGCCCCACTCTACTGGCAAGCTCACTAAGGCTTGGTCATAATTGGATTCAGGTATCTAAAGACAGTTCTTCACTAGCAGTTCCGGAGTGGAGGGACTGCTTCCTGGCACATAATTCAGGCCCACTCACACAACTAGAAAGGGTTACACACAAGCAGTTCACTTTTTTTTTTGGTGCTACTAGGGCTTGAAATCAGGTTCTCCTACTTGCTGGTTAAGTGCTCTAGCATTTAAGTCATGCTTCCAGCCATTTGTTTATGTTTATTTCTTTATTTTTATTTTAGACAGGGTCTTTCAGTGTAGTGTAGGCTGGCCTTGAGCTGCTATTATAGGCATGCATCATTCAGCCGAGTTTTAGTTTTAAACTTCATAGGCAATGCTGATGCCTAGATAAGTTGAGGACAGTAATGTTATTCAGAGGGCCACATGGATCTGTGACGGAAAGAAAACATCACAAGGGATCCTCAGAGTCCCCAAGATGTTGGGTGGGAATTACCCAGAATTCTCTAGACCCACAGAGCAGTGGTCAGCCCTCATCCTTGGTGGGTGTCTCTACAGTTTAACTGGTATACTCGTCGTGCTGTGCTGGCTGGCATCTACAACACAACAGAGCTGGTGATGATGCAGGACTCATCCCCAGACTTCGAGGACACTTGGCGCTTCCTGGAAAACCGGATTAATGATGCCATGAACATGGGCCACACTGCCAAGCAGGTAGTTGGGGGCCAGCGGTTTGGGAACTCTCTTCAGTCAGCTCCCCTGTCTCTCAGGCACACAACTGGTCACCTAGTTGTTCCTGTGCTCCCTGTTGGCCTCAGCCTACAGTCTAGGGGCCTTCCCAAGAAGGCTGGCTGTTGCTTTCTGAAGGGTCATGCTTTGCCCAGGTGTGACTATTGTCCATAGGCTCCTCCCCCATCCATTGGGTCATCTAGATTCCACTTTTCTGGACTCATGGGCTTTCTCGCTGTCCATCTGCACCACCTTTGGTTTCATCTTGGGGACTCAGGGAAACCTCACTCACATTCCTTCTAGGTAAAGTCCACTGGAGAGGCACTGGTTCAAGGACTCATGGGTGCAGCAGTGACGGTGAGTACTGCCCACCCATCTATCACCCCACTCAGGCCCAGTGCCATTTCTAGCATGCATCACTGACTCCACAGAGTTTGTAACCTTCAACTGAAAGCTGATAATAAGACAGACACCGACAAGGGGAGGGAGGGGAAGGGAGGGGGAAAAAAAATAAGACAGACACCGATTTAGCTGCAGTCTTGATCCCAAATGCCTACTTCTTTTCATTACTGGTGTCAGGGAACAACATTGACTCCAGGGCCCTGGTGTGTCCAGAACCTCTCTTAGCCATGCCTGCCTCCATGAAAACCCCAGTCTTACCCTCTGAAGACCCTGAGGTGAGGCTTCACACGCTCTCTGTTACCATTCTTGTACCAGCTCAAGAACCTAACAGGTCTGAACCAGCGCCGGTGAAAGGTTAGATGTCAGCCTGAGTTCCTGGAAGAAAATAAGCAGCTAGATTTAAAGAGCTTTGATAAGTAAGTATCCATGGAACCAGATGTTCATGAAAACACACTGAAGGACTCTGGAGTCACTCCACAGCCACTAGGAAACCACCAGGCACCTGACACATCTCTGGCCTGGAACTGGGCCACTTCTTCTGTTCCTTCTACTCATCTGGTCTTGTGAAGCCTGAGGGATGCTCTCTTCTGAGCACTCAAGCCACAGAAACAGCACCTCCCTCACGGTCTTACCTTGATCATGTCTTAGTCTTACAAGTAGTTGGTGGGGCAACCAGGCACCAGGTCCAAAGCCACCACAAGGTGGCAGTCCATCCCCAGCAGAGCATAGGCTTGGGTGCACACAAGTTCCTTGCTATTGTCCTGAGATGCTACACCTGCGGATCCCCTTAGAAAGCTGCCTCGCCTGAGGTGGGTGCCTGCTGGGTGGACAGTGATGCATTGTGGGATTGTTACTGTATTTAGAATATGTACAATGAATGAATCTGTAAAAAATAATAAATATATTTGAAGCAGTTTCCTGTTGTAGTTTCTCAGAGGTGAGGAATACCTAGCCTCTGAGCTGTATAAGGTCCACAAATCATACGTGACAGAACAGACACATACGCTTCTCATTATCTGGCCTTGGCCATCTGCCTTGAGCTCTGGTCCTGGTGCTGCCAAACCTACAGGAATAAAGGCAACTAGATTTTCCAGCCAACCAAGTGATGGTAGCAGGGTCTTTCCCAGTCTGTTAGCTCCTGTGTGTGTGTGTGTGTGTGTGTGTGTGTGTGTGTGTGCGCGCGCGCGCGCACATGCGTGCTAGTATCATACTCTTGAACTCTGGGCCATGTGCTCTCACTTGGCTTTTTCTTTCAAAGCTGATGCTCTATTACTTGCACCACACCTCCACTTCCATCATGATTCTTTCTTCAGCTTTAATGATTTTTGTCAGCCTTTACCCTACCTGGCCCCACTCTGGACCTCTGCATCTCTGTCTTCTGCATTGCTGTCTGCCTAAGTCAGCAAAATCACCCTGGGCAAGTCAGGAGTTAATCAGAGCTCAGGTTTCTTCATGTGGTCTTTCCACTGACATGTGCCTCTAAGCCCTGTGAAGTTCCTGCAGTAGTTAGTCCATTCCATTGCCATCTCCTTTGTCCTTCATAGCACCCTTCTTACAGTCAGCAGAGTAAGTTGTTAGTACTGAGAGGCATGGGTGGAGCAAGGGCCCCTCTGAGCACTTACTCTAGTCAGGAAGAGATGTCACTCCTTGCTCCAGCAAACTCTTCATTCTCTGGTGACTTTTCTGCCCCCCAAACGTAGTTTCTGCTATGTTCTACTTAAAGGCTGCTTTCCTGTGGGTAAACAGCTACCACTTTTTGAAGCCCATTTAAGCCTGTCTAGTCTATTTAAGGGACTGGGGTAATTCTTAAAAATGTTCATGTTTAACCTATGTGACAGCACACACTGCTAGGCACTAGGAATGGAGAGATGAGCTCCCACCCTCCACAACTCCATAGCACTGTAGATGAAGCCTCAAAGAGCACTTTGATCTTTTCCTGTGGTGTATAGCTGTACATCGTCCAGATGAGGGTGAAATGGAAAAGGGATGTGTGTCTTATCAAAGCATACTTTACTAAAATGGACATGAATTCCATAGATGAACTTTTTTGTGGTATTAGGATTTGATTTCAGAGCCTCAATGAGCTTGCTAGATTGGCTGGCTGCTCTATCAGTTAAGCCATGCCTCCTGTGTGGCTTTTTGCTAGGTATTGTGGAGATGGAGTCTAGAAAACTTTTCTGCCTAAGCCGGCTTGGAATGGTGATCCTCTGGATCTCCTGAATAGTTAGCATTATTATAGACATGACTGTCTGCCATGTTTACTTCATTTAAAGAAACAGAAAAGCAAAGTTCCTGGGGCTCACAGCTTAAATCCTAACAACTCAGGACATTGAGATCTGAGGATCTCAGTTTGAAGCCAGCCTGGGCAGGAAAGTCAGACTCTCTCTCCAACAAACAACTCAAAAGCCAAAAGTGGAGCTCTGCCTCAATCCGTACAGCACCAGCAAAAAAGCTCAGCTCAGGTATAGTGTCCAGGCAGAGTTCCAACCCAAGACCAGCACCAAAAAAAAAGTTCATTATATTCCTACATGTGTATTAAGCGGGTCTGTATTTAAAACCAATGTAATTAGTTTTATCTTTTGCTATTACAAACAGTACCGGCACGAACATGCATCTGTATGTATCTTTTTTTTTTTTTTGTCGGTCGTGGGGCTTGAACTCTGGGCCTGGGCCCTGTCCCTCAGCTCTTCAGCTCAAGGCGAGCGCTCTACCACTTGAGCTACAGCGCCACTTCCGGTTTTGTGGTGGTTTATTGGAGATAAGAGTCTCACGGTCTCTCCTGCCCGGGCTGGCTTTGAACCATGATCCTCAGATCTCAGCCTCCTGAGTAGCTAGGATTACAGGCTTGAGCCACCAGAGCCCGGCCATCTGTATGTATCTTTCTTTACAACTGTAAGTGCTTCAGCCAGTGGAGTACGGTTTACCACTTTACCTTCCAACATGGTGGAACCTGATACATTTTGAAGCCTATGGGATTAGAAAACTCTGGGGCTGTACCGGCCTCCGGGCAGCAGGTGGCGCTGTGGCGTACTTCTTGGCGGAAGGGGCGGTGCCACAAGGACTGACTTCCGGGGCCTGTAGACGCGCAGGCGCAGTGGTGCTGACGCGGGAGGTCGGTGGCCGTGGGGCGCGATGCCGTACGCCAACCAGCCCACCGTGCGCATCACGGAGCTCACGGACGAGAACGTCAAGTTCATCATCGAGAACACGGACCTGGCGTAAGGGCTCTGGAGCTGGGGGTGGGGCTGGTGTGCCTCCTGAGCTGTCCCCATCCCCCGAGCTGGGGCGCGGGGAGCGGGGCGGCCCATGGGGCCGCTGTGGGGCGCGGGGAGCTGTGGGGGCCGCTGTGGGGCGCGGGGACCTGTGGGGGCTGTGGGGCGCGGGGACCTGTGGGGGCTGTGGGGCGCGGGGACCTGTGGGGGCTGTGGGGCGCGGGGAGCTGTGGGGGCCGCTGTGGGGCGCGGGGAGCTGTGGGGGCCGCTGTGGGGCGCGGGGAGCTGTGGGGGCCGCTGTGGGGCGCGGGGAGCTGTGGGGGCCGCGGGGCGCGGGGAGCTGTGGGGGCCGCTGTGGGGCGCGGGGAGCTGTGGGGGCCGCTGTGGGGCGCGGGGACCTGTGGGGGCCGCTGTGGGGCGCGGGGACCTGTGGGGGCCGCTGTGGGGCGCGGGGACCTGTGGGGGCCGCTGTGGGACGCGGGGAGCTGTGGGGGCCGCTGTGGGGCGCGGGGAGCTGTGGGGGCCGCTGTGGGGCGCGGGGAGCTGTGGGGGCCGCTGTGGGGCGCGGGGAGCTGTGGGGGCCGCTGTGGGGCGCGGGGAGCTGTGGGGGCCGCTGTGGGGCGCGGGGAGCTGTGGGGGCTGTGGGGCGCGGGGAGCTGTGGGGGCCGCTGTGGGGCGCGGGGAGCTGTGGGGGCTGTGGGGCGCGGGGAGCTGTGGGGGCCGCTGTGGGGCGCGGGGAGCTGTGGGGGCCGCGGGGCGCGGGGAGCTGTGGGGGCCGCTGTGGGGCGCGGGGAGCTGTGGGGGCTGTGGGGCGCGGGGAGCTGTGGGGGCCGCTGTGGGGCGCGGGGAGCTGTGGGGGCCGTGGGGCGCGGGGACCTGTGGGGGCCGTGGGGCGCGGGGAGCTGTGGGGACTGTGGGGCGCGGGGACCTGTGGGGGCCGTGGGGCGCGGGGAGCTGTGGGGGCCGCGGGGCGCAGGGAGCTGTGGGGGCCGCGGGGCGCGGGGAGCTGTGGGGGCCGCTGTGGGGCGCGGGGAGCTGTGGGGGCCGCGGGGCGCAGGGAACTGTGGGGGCCGCGGGGCGGGGGCGGGGAGCCGGGCAGCGGGGGTGGGGGGGGGGGCAGGGGCGGAGGGAGAGGCTCAGGCTAGGTGTTCTCCTCCAGGGTGGCCAATTCTATTCGAAGAGTCTTCATCGCCGAGGTACCCATAATAGGTACGCGCCCCCCGTTCCTGCCGTCCTTGGTGAGGGTGAGGGTACTGAGAAGACGGGAGTGCTGACATTTTCATACACGTATGCAATGTACTTAGGTGTCTTTCTGAAGAGTGTCTGATTCGATTTAACAGGATTATCTTCAGTTCCATCCATGGCCCTGCAAAATGACAATTTCATTCTTCTTTATGGCCGAATTGTACTCCATTGTGTATACGCCCCACATCTTGCTTGTCTGTTTCTTTAGCTGTTCTATGAGTCTGTTGTTTCAGCCACATGTGTGTAAGTACGTAATCGCCAGTCTGGAGGTAATGTCGTACACGGATGTGACACTAGACAAAGCACAATAGGGGTCTTAAGGAGAATCTGGACAGAAATTTATGAGCGCTGAGGAGTTCACAGGCAGGGTGTGGTGACTTCTGTAGCATAGAGGACAGTCTTGGCTTGGCTTTCAGAGGGTGAGCGTTTTCACCTGCGGGAGGCAAGGTGGGAGGGGAGGGGAAGTGGTGGTAGCACATGCCAGGGAGAAGAGTTCAGGGGACCTGCTTATAGTCCTTGCTTGGTTCGGGAAGCATTGCAGACAAAGCACATCAGGGTCTGGCCATGTCTGGGCCTCTGTGACCTCTATTCCTAGTACCTCTGCCCCTTTGGCCTTTAATCTCTTGGATTGTGCATGTGTTCATGTGTGTGTGTATGTGTGTGTTAGTACTGGGCTTGAACTCAGGGCCTGGATGCTTTTTCACTCAAGAATGGCACTCTTTATCACTTGAGCCACAGCTCTACATCCAGCTTTTTGGTGGTTAATTGGAGATTAAGGTCTACCGAGGCTGGCTTTGAAACTTGATCCTCCTAAGTAGATAGGATTACAGGCTTGAGCCACCAGTGCCCAGCTGTAGTGGCAGTTGGTTTCAGACTACGTGTTGTGTAGATACTTGTTTATGAATTGTGAGCGAGATTAGGTTTTCTAACAAGTATGTTTTGCCCACTGAAGGATAGAGTGATTGAAGAACTATTGGTGTGGCCCATAAATAAGTCTGTTTCTTCTGTAAGGCATTCTGTAATATTTAGGTGCCCAAATAGTTTTTGTTTTTAGATTCGGTATTGGCATGGGTAACAGATTTAAGTGCTTCTCAGGAAAACCTCCAGCTCAAAGTTAATATTCCCTCTTATGTGGTATACTCTTAAGTGGTACCAGAAACTCCTGCATTAAATTCCCCTGGACACAGAAGTGAAGCATTTGATTCTTGTTTAATGCAATTTCTGGGGCCCAACTCCAGTACTGCGAAATCAGAAACTCTGGAAGCCTGACCCAGGCCTCTGCAATTTAGTTAGCAATGGTAAGAACACTGCTGTAAGTCTGAGGGTGGATTTGGTGGCAAAACTTCACACACGTGTGGGCTCCCCCCCCCCCACACACACACCGTGGTGTGTGGTGCTGAGGATGGAAACTAAGGTCTTTGGCATGCTGGACAGGTGCTCTACCATTGCACTAGCCCCAGTCCCTCTAACTGTGTTCTGCTTCTTCATTGCTTAGCCATCGACTGGGTTCAGATTGATGCCAATTCTTCTGTCCTTCATGATGAGTTCATTGCTCACAGGCTTGGTAAGTGCTGGTGTTCAATTAGAGGGAGGGAATTGTGTGTGGAGTCAGAGGAAGAGGCCTCTCCAGCTTTAGGAGGTGGCTGTTGACTCTTATTTACAGTGCTTTTCTTTGTCTTCCAGGACTAATTCCACTCACCAGTGATGACATCGTGGACAAGCTGCAATACTCTCGGGTATGTGTGGTGGCTGCACTGTGGGCTTGGGGAAAGGCCTTGGGTCTCTTTGGAATCTTTGTGGACATACTCTCTTCTCGCTTGGCCTGAACTATAGTCTAGAAAGTCAATGTAGACATGGTATAAAGCCCACAGTAGGGCTTCATTCTAATGAGACCAAGACAGGAAAGGCTCAGGGCCTCAGGATGCTTACTAGCCAGCAATACAAGAGAACACCCATTCACTCTGAGCATCTTTATGGTGGGAAGTGTTAAAGAAGAGACTGGCAGACTGAAGGGAGTTAACAGCAGGCTGTGGTGAGTGCAGACAGGAGGAGGGAATGGTAAGTACCTGGGAGATCTGCCTGTGGGGTCCCTCCTCTATAGGTGATGCCAGTTAAGAGTGGACCTGGGTGGGAGCAGGCTGGGTTACTTCCTCCTTTGTTTAGGCTGCATTTTAGACTATGCCCTTTTGGTGGCTTTGGCTGATCCTGAATCAGCGTTGTATGCCCAAGGATTATAGCATTTTTGTGGTGGCTAGTTTGGTATGTCTAGTAAATATATAGGATTAGGTGAAATATTGAAAAGTGTGGAGCTAATACAATTTAGCTTAGTATGTTGCATTTAACATATTGCAGTATTTACTTCAAATTATGAGTTTGTTTTATTGGGCTTTTTTTGGGAGGGAGAGCGGGGCAGGGGGTTACTGGGATGGAATCCATGGTCTTGTACACTAGCTAGGTGATCCACTTCTGAGCTACATCCCTCAGCCCAAGATTTTTTTTTTTGGTCAGTCATGGGGCCTGAACTGTAGGCCTAGACACTGTCTCTCAGCTCTTCAGCTCAAGGCAAGCGCTCTACCACTTGAGCCACAGTGCCACTTCTGACTTTTTCTACTTATGTGGTGCTGAGGAATCGAACCCAGGTCCTCATGCATGCAAGGCAAGCACTCTACCACTGAGCCACCTTCCTAGCCCCTCAGCCCAAGATTTTAAAAAGATGTAACAAGGCTAGGATGTAGCTCAGTGGCAAAGTGCTTGCCTAGCAAGTGTAACAACGTCCTACATTCAGTCCCCAGTACCAAAAGACAAAAAAAAAAAGAAAGAAAGAAAAGAAAAACGTTGTCAGGTACCAGTGGCTCATGCCTGTAATCCTAGCTAATCAGGAGGCTGAGATCTGAGGATCATGGTTCAAAGCCAGCCCAGCCAGGAAAGTCTGGGAGACTCTTATTTCCAGTTAACCACCAGAAAACTAGAAGTGGTGCTGTGACTCATAGTGGTAGAGCACTAGCCTTGAAAAAGTTCAGAGATAGTGCCCAAGCGCTGACTTAAGCCCCAAGCTCAGCATCCAAAAAAAAAACAAAAAAAATTGCTGTCCCACCCGTGTATGTCTGTAGACCACTCAAGTTACAGCCCTTTAATTGCTTTTTCCTCCTTATCCTGCAGATGTCAGAGTATGCCAGGTTTTCCTCACTGGTATGAGAGAGGGAACAGTTTATTATTTTTTTGTGATTTTTAATTTTTTTTGTTATTATAAAGGTGATATACATAGGGGTTACAGTTATGTAAGTCAGATAAGGAGTATATTTTTCCCCCACCAGTTCTGGTACTTGAACTCAGGGTGAGGGCACACTCCCTGAACTTTTGCTCAAGGCTATCACTCTACCACTTGAGCTACAGTGCCATTTCCAGTTTTTTCTGTTTATGTGTTACCGAGGAATCGAACCCAGGGCTTCATGCATGCTAGGCAAGCACTCTACCACTAAGCCACCTTCCCATCCCAGTACATTTCTTTTTGGACAGTGTCACCCTTTTCTCGCTCTCTCCCAGTTTTTCCCTCCTGTCCCCACCCACAGTGGTATAGTTCATTTTCAACAGTGTCCAGTAAGTGCCATTGCTATATTTGTTTATCCTTTGTCTCTCCATTTATTTTTATTTTTTTCTTTTTATGGGGGGGGGGGGGTCTGGTTGTAGGGCCTGAACTCTGGGCCTGGGCGCCGTCCCTCAGCTCTTCAGCTCAAGGCTAGCGCTCTACCACTTGAGCCACAGCGCCACTTCCGGCTTTTTTCTTTCTGCTTATGTGGTGCTGAGGAATCGAACCCAGGGCCTCATGCATGCAAGGCAAGCGCTCTACCCCTGAGCCACCTTCCCAGCCCGTTTCTCCATTTCTCTGGGAGAAAAATTTTGTGACTATTCTCAAAACACTCATCTTGGCTTCAGTTGACTCATGTGGTCCCTAAGGTAGGAACAGATTGTTTCAAGAGCCCTAGTTGGGACACACGCCTGTAATACCAGCATTCATGAGGCCAGGAAGAAAAAGGAAAAAAAAAAGAATGGCAGATGGTGGTAACTGTGAACTAGTACATTATACTTTTCTCCAGTTTGTGTATGGATGAAATATTTCATAAGAAGATAAAGGTAGTGTTTCAAGACTTGAAAGCTACTTTATTCTGTTCTTCCTGGCTTATTAGGTCGGTCTAGTCCATGGCCAGCTGAGCTGCAGCATGTGAAGCATTCTGCCCTTCATAGCCTGGGTCCTCTGAAGGCGGTGATGAGTTAGCCTCGGGCTCTTGTGCAGCCTCGTGGCAGTGGGTGTGGGAGGCCAGTGGGTGTATAGGTTGTCTCTGAGTTCATGCTGTCCTTGGGGATGGTGTACCAGATTGTTGCTGCCACAGGAGCCTGGGGACTGTGGTCAGCTAACTTTGCAGATAAAGAAACTTAAAGGAGCTGGGTACTGGAGCAGGGGGTCCAAATGGGCTTTGCTATGTTTTTCTGTCATAAACTTGGTGCTTCATCTCTGGCCTCAGGACTGTACATGTGAGGAGTTCTGCCCCGAGTGCTCAGTGGAGTTCACTCTGGATGTCCGGTGTAATGAAGACCAGACACGTCACGTCACATCCCGAGACCTCATCTCCAACAGCCCCCGGGTCATTCCGGTCAGTGTCAGTGCAGTCTGCCTATCCAGGGCCCTTGTGCATTGCTTTCTGGCCCCCTGTGGGCCAGGTTGGAGAGTAGGTCCTGAGACAAGTGCTGGTTCTGGATTCCTGAGCAGAGGGGCATGGTGCTGTTTACCCTGCCCTAGGCCATGGGATTGCTGAGGGCTGAGAAGGCTGCACTTTGTGGGTGGAGACCCCCTTTCCGTGACTTGACACATGCAGACCAGAGGGTGCCGGGGACTTGAGTGGCTTATGGACGCATGTTTGCGTTGTACAGGTGACATCCCGGAACCGCGATAACGACCCCAATGACTACGTGGAGCAGGATGGTAAGGTGCTGGGGCCCGCAGGCACCTGGACCCGGCACTGTGTGGCCAGGCCAGGCGCAGCCTCATCTCATGTTGCCTGGCTCCAGACCATTTTGTTTGCTTGCTTGTTTGTTTTAGAGTCTTGTTTTGCCCTTGGATGGCCTCACACCTTAATCCTCCTGTCTATGGCTTCCGTAGTAACGGAGTTTATGGTCCCACCACTGAACCTAGCTTATTTACTAATGAGATGGTGTATGTGTGGAGGGGAATGGTTCACTAATTCTTTGCCTGTCTTGTCCTTAAGCCGAGATCCTCCCCATCTGTTTCCCAAGTAGTTGAGATTACAGGCATGAACCACTGTGTCCAGCTCTAGACCCATTCTGGCAGGTCTGGGTGGTTTTCCAGCAACTCTCCAGGTTAGAAGTTGGAGAACTATGCCACTCCTGGCCCATTCCTAACTCATGCCTCTCCCCACAGACATCCTCATTGTCAAGCTGAGGAAGGGCCAGGAGCTGAGACTTCGAGCCTATGCCAAAAAAGGCTTCGGCAAGGAACATGCCAAGTGGAACCCCACGGCAGGGGTGGCTTTTGAATATGATCCAGACAATGCCCTGAGGCACACAGTTTACCCCAAGCCTGAGGAATGGTAGGCTCCTGTTGGAGGGAAGGTGGGAATTTGGGGTGAGGGGACAAGACCTCTGCTGAAGTGGCCTAAAAGCAGTAGCTGCCCTTGCTGACCTTACATTGTGACCTCAGGCCAAAGAGTGAGTACTCGGAGCTGGATGAGGATGAGTCACAGGCTCCCTATGACCCCAACGGCAAGCCTGAGAGGTAAGACCTGATCTCACAAGACAGTAAGCATAAGAGTTGTTAGGGGTCCCCTTCCCCAGCATTCCAGGAAGGCCACCAGCTGCCAAACTACAATGATACATGCAAATCTCGGCTGGGCTTCATACTGTTTGGTTGTGGGGAAGAGCCCTCCAGTGAGCCCAGTTCTCAGTGTTCTGCTTTCTAAGGAGGCCATTTAGGTCCAAACTGAGGGGCTGCAGCCTGGGGCACTGTTTGTTTGGTTTCCCTCCCTCTCCAGTGTGGAACATAGCTGTGGCTCCCTGAGTATCTGCAGGGCGGGCATGAACCACTGCCTAGGTTTTCTGTGGGCCAAGGCCACGTCTCCCTTAGGTGTGAAGTCACATGAGGGGGAGAGGCGGTTTAGGGCCGGTGGCTCACCTGTGTCTACCTCCTAGGATTTCTCACTGCACTGCTGCCTCTTAGGTTTTACTACAACGTGGAGTCCTGTGGCTCTCTGCGCCCTGAAACCATTGTCCTCTCAGCCCTCTCTGGATTGAAGAAGAAGCTGAGTGATTTACAGACTCAATTAAGCCATGAGATCCAGAGTGACGTACTTACTATAAATTAGCAGCAGCTCACCTGTGTCAGCAAAGGCGGAGTTTGAGGCAGACCACGGCTGGATTTCAGGTCTCTCCTGAGCCCCTGTAGTTTCTGGGCTCTGGACTGCTTGTTACTGCTCAAACTCTGGGCAGTCATCAGTACCAGCAAGAATCAGGTTACAGGTAGAATACCTGGATACTTTTTTTGGTGGTTGTTTTTGGTTGTTTTTTGAGGCATGTTCTTACCCCGTAGGCTATACTGGTCTCAAACACATGACCACAGGTTTGCACCACCACACCTGGCTAGGCAGACAGCTTTCTACTTTTGCATTTGCCTAGCCCTGCTAAGGATTGCCAGTAGAGCTCTTCATAACCCAGCACATCCCTTGCATCCATCCCTTCCATCCAGTTTCCTAGTAACACCACTAGGGGGACATGCTGCTTCTCTGTGGAGACCACTGAGCTGGACTTCTCTCATGATCATTCCAGCTCTTTGATTCCAAATGAAGGAATTTTCACAGCTGTACCCTAGTTTCCTGGTGTTAGGATCAGAGCCAGTGCCAGCATATTCACTCAGTCCTTTCCCCAAGGGACTTCAGATTCCTGGGTGTCTGTAATTTGAGAAGTAACCCTTTGGGAATAGCTTTAGACATCCCCTCTTCCCCCAAATAGGTATGCTGGGTTTTTTGTGTTTTTTTTTTCTTCTGCCAGCAGTCTGACCACTTGGCTTGGGGTGTTTGGTCGGGGGAAGCAAGAGCGAAGGCCACCCCCCACATATCCCATCAGCAAAGGCTCCGGGAACAGCACATGGGTAGCAGTACACTGGGCAGCCTGGAGAAACCTCTGAGACTGGTGCAGAGGAAGGGATACTTATTGATTAGCAATAGTTTCTTTTTCAAAGTTTTTATTTTTGGCAATAAAGAGCACAACATAATCTCCTTCATGCGTCATTGTGCCACTAGCTGAGCCAGCCACTCTGCTGCCCTCCCCGGGTCCTCTGCAGCCTGGCTTTCTTCTGGGTGGCTGTTCCCTGGGTCACATTCAGAGCTGGGCTGGCTTTGCCACCTCCCTGGCTCTGGGACGCCTCTGGGAGGGGACCTCTCTATCACCACCACCCCCCCTGCCACAAACATGAATAGTGGTTATTTACAAGGTCTGTTTCCACAAATCAGAAACCATAGTATTAAAAAAACAATATAAACAAAAGAACCACGCAACCTAAGTTTTGATGTGGGTAGAAAGATAGCCCTTCTGCACGGTAGTCAATAAATACCAGCACTAGAAAATCAATTGCTTTAATTGCATTTCAGCAGGGAGCCTCAGCACCATGTAGGGAGGAGATAGCAGAGTCTCTGGATTCTGAGCTTTCCAGCACAGGATGACCAAGCCCAGGGCAAGGGACTCTGCTTGGGGTGCTGTCCACCGCTGCCCGTGAGGGGGCAGCAGGACTGCTCCCCATAGCACTCTTGCTGTGGCCTTCCTGCCTGGCCCAGCCCGGGCAGGAACAAGCCCCAGTCATCGTGCACCTCTGAGGTAATTGGCACCCCTTCCCCCAGGGCATCTTGGCCTACTGAGCAGGAAGGAGCCTGTGCAGAAATAACGAGGCCCAACCAGATGTCACCTCTGCTTAAAACTCCAAGTGCAAAGCTGCTAAGTGGCACAACGGAAGTCAAAGCCTTCCTGTGCCACTCGAGGCCAGAGGAACAGAAGGAACAGAAGCCACCTGCTGTATTGGTCCCTGGGCTGCTTAGGAAAAGCCAGTAGGCAGTGCCAGCTTTGAGTTCTGATTGTCGCCTCCCTGGTCCCAGCAGCTCCATCAGGTCCTGGGCGGCAGTGATAGGTACCGTGGAGGACAGACACAGCTGCCCTCAAAAACAGCTTTGACCATGGTCTGGTCATGGGCTTAAAGAATGTGTGTTGGTGGGGAAGGGTAGAGGGGGAAATCTCATTAATATAGAATGTCATAAGCCATATATATTAAAATCCTTAAAAGTATATAGTCTCATGGTAGCTCCAGCCCCTCACATGCTCAAGTGGTATGGCCAGCCCTTTTCCTTGGTCCAGCCTCACCCTAGGGGTGAGGTGGGAGCTCCTGGCTCCCCTTCTCAGGCTCTTGGCCAACAACCCCGGGAAGCTCTCCACAGGGGGCTGCAGCCAGCCCTGTAATCAGTGGCCTAGCAGTCTTCGCTGCCCACCAGCCCTGCTGTCACTGTGAGGGGGTCTTGGCATCGCTGCTGTCCCCTTGACTGGACTTTGGCTTTAGCAAGATGAATCTGTTGAGGAGGTCTGTTTCTGAGCTGGCCTGGGCCGCCCCATACCCCTCACCTGTGGGCACAGAAGCAGGCTCAGAACTCCATACCAGGGCAGAAGAGCCCTGCCCAGGAGGCCTTTGCCCTCTACCAATGTTGGGTACAAGAGACTCACCTGCATAGCTTGAGGCTTCGGCAATGTTCTGGGAACCCGTAATGTGGTGCCAGTAAGCACTGCGGGGCAGCATGGTGGTGGGTGTGCAGGGGTACGAGTAGTGTTCAGTGCCCTTGTTTAGCAGCTGCAAGGAGGAGTGTCTCTCGTTAGCTGTGGGACAGGGCCCAGGCCACCTCTACTGCACACGAGCTGGCAGGAGACCCGCCACTGGCCTGCCCACCCTGTTGTCCCCCGCCTCACCCTCACATTCTTCTCCATTTCCAGCAGGACGCGCTTGTGTTGCTCGGCGATGGCCAGGGTGGCACTGTGAACCCGCTGGTAGATTTGCTCCCCCTCCTGTGTCTGGAAGGTGTAGAGCCCTTCTCCCGCATCACACATCCTGGGGACACAGGCGGCAAGGGGGAGTGAGTCACTATCATGGTCCTGGAGAGATGGTGGACAGTGCAAGGCAGTCACCATTGTGATCTGGGGGGGACAGTGGGAGGTGAGAAGCTCCTACCGGCCAGCCTCGAAGGTAAAGCGTGTGGCGTCCCGGCCATAGCGGCGCAGGGAGCACAGGGGCCAGGAGACCAGCTTCAGGCGGGGGTTGTGCGTGTCCCAGAGGTAGATGTTTTCGTGGGTGATCTGCAGCTTGCACTCGCCGTACACGTCCAGGTTGGGGCAGGGCAGCAGGAAGACGTTGAAACGATCTGGAGCCCGAGCAGACAACTGGGTGGAGGTGCTCAGGGTCTTCTGGCGCTCCCTCCCCCTGCTCCCCCCTACCACTCTTCCCTGCCCCACACCCGGGCCTAGGCTCACCTGTCTGCTCACTCTGCACCCCTGCAGCCAGAAGATCAGGTTCTCCCAGACTGATGTCATTGAGCCGTGACCCCAGACACTCCACAGACAGGGTCTTGTACCACTCCTCTGCCTCCAGCTCTGGAGAAAATGGTGTCTTATCGTGGGGCTGGCCCAGGGTCCCAGGCAGCCCACCCATCTTCCTGGGCTTGAGTTTCCTATCAGGCGTGGCAGGGACAGCAGGCCTTGGCTAACTGCAGTCTGCACTCTCCAGAGTCCCCTCTCCCCACCCAAATCACAGCTCTGCTCTGCCTTCTGCTGGACCATGCTGGCCGCCATGATGGGCAGGGGTGGGGGTGGGGGGTGGCAGGCTGGTGTTGAAGCCCCAGGGCCTCACCTGAGTCACAGGTGAAGGTCCGCGCTGAGTCATCAGTAAATATGATGGCCACTGCCTGCCGCTTGGTCTCCTTGGGGAGCCGGGTGACACACTTGACGTTGCTGATCTCAGTCACCTGGGACAGTACCCACAAAGCACTTAGTAGAGCTGGGGCACCTCCCTCTGCCCACCCCCAGGAGGGAGCTCTTTGCTTGCAGGTAGGGGGAGCTAGGGCCCAGGACCCCTAACCTTGGGACAGCCTCGGAGGCACACCGACTTCTCATCTGGGTACTTCTCCAGCCGCTGGGGCCCTTTACTGGAGGATTTCCGGAACACCAGCCAGCACCTCCGGTAGATCTGAGGGACAAGACAGGATCAGCCTCCCAGGACCACTCCCGCCCAACTCACAGCGCTGCCGATACCCCGGTCTGCCACAGGGGGCGGTGCTGCACAGCCTTTCCAGGAGCCCTGCCTGGAGGAAACCTAGGGCTAGAAGTCCACAGTGACACCACCTCCCCAAGTAGCAACAGCAATCACGAGTGGTTCCCAATTTCAGGGTGTTTTCTGCCTGTACATTTCCTATCAGCACCCTCCAGTCTTGGACTCTATTGTTACCCTCACTTGAGAGCTGGCACCCACAAGGGAAATTGCAGTAACAAATGGGAGGTTGTCCATTTGTCTCACCACACAGTCCGCTCTGACCAGGGCTCCTGCAGCACCACCTGCTGCATGTGGATGGTGAGACCCTTGTTCAGGGCCTGCACAGCACCACAGCCCTGTTCTCCAGGCTGGCCTAGGCACGTGGTGTGGCTCACATTCCTCTTGTCCCTCACAGCTTTCCCTCACCCCCTCTTTCATCTTCTTGCCAATCCTGCAGCAAAGGGATGGGGGTCATTCCTTGTTTCCATGGGCAAAGCACAGCCTCCCAGGGCTGGAGCAGGGCTAAGAACCATGGCTGTCTGCCTCCCCCTCCCCCCTCCAGCACAGAGCCTGGGAACACGGGATTCTGTGTCCACTGCCACCAAAACTCTCCAGAGCTTCATGACCTCTTGGGGTTGAGAACTGGCCACTTTGGGGGTTATCAGACACCCTGAGGGAAGGTCCTAGTCCTGGCCTTGCACCCCTGACCCCGGCTCAGCCTTGGCCTGGCCTGGCCACCTGGGCCATAGGAGCTCTGGGCTCTCGGCAGAGAGCTTCTTAGCAGTCTGTGCTGTGTTCTCGGATCCCAGGACCAAGGCAGCCTCAGTTCCAGATCTCCATTGAACAAGGGATGATAATACGAAGAAGGGCAGTGGGTAAGTGGACAGATGGATGGATGGATGGATGAAGACATGCTGCCAAGCTGAGCCATGGACTGCCAACAGCATGGCTGGGGGGGGGGGGGGCAGAGGCTGGGGGCTCAAGCACCCTGGTTGCCTGGTTACAGGAGACACAGCCCCAGGGAGCCATACCCAAGAGCCGTCCTTCCTACTTCTGTGGGTCTTTGATCGGTGCTTGGGAAGCTTGCTGTCACTGGCTCTCTGTGCAGGCATGGGAGGGAGGCCCTGGCAGGTGGGAGGGAAGGCTCGGGTCCTTCAAAGCCCCTCCTTCTTACCTCTGGGGACTGAGGCAAAGCAGCTGCCTGAGGTAACTGCAGCCTCCCACACTGGGACAAGGGAGGCTCAGTCATCAGAGGGCAGCTGAATTCCAGGACAGAAGCGGACTCTGCTTATGCCAGGCCGCACCCCACCTCCCAGGCTTTTCCCTTGCTTGCACACCTGCCACTTTGGTTCCCAGGACTCCTGAGAGAACACGTCTGAGAACAATCCCAAGTAGCTGTCCCTGTGGCCAGCGCCTTCCTGGCAAGCTGCGGCCAGGCCAGGGCCTCAGTCCTGCAGACTCCTGAGGACTCATATCTGGGTCCACACACAGGGAGAAGCAATGGGTTTCCAGCTCCCTGAGCTTCCCTGCCTGGCCTCAGCCTTGCTCTTTGTTCTGTGCTCTGAGATAGAATGTGAGGAAGAGCGAACTCTACCAGTCTAGGGGCCAGGCTGGGCCACAGATTCAAATCCAACAAGACTCCAAATGCACCCACTACCCTGCCACCTTGTGCTTTGAGGCTACTGCCCTGCCCCCTGGACCTAAGGAACCCCAAAGGAGCCAAAAGGAGCCACCCCTCTGCAAGGCCAGCTGGAGAACCAAGTGATTCCATCCCCATCCTTCACCTCACGGAGGCAGAGTGGAGAAGCTCCAACGCCGCCCCCCACCCCGGAGGAAAAGGACACGGAGACCAAGGATAAAACAGAGACTTGGGTCACCAACATGAGGGCTCCCCTTCCTGCTGGGGGTGGAGGTGGGAAGAGGCAGCTCTGAGACACCCTGTAAGATCATGAAGTAGGTCCCGGGTCCCCTATCATGCCCCTGGGGGACCCTCCCCAGCTTCGGGCTTACAAGGGGTAGGAAAGGGTACCTGCTCTCCAAGACCTCATCTCCATTCTCCCTCCCAGCCCCCAGTTTGAGGGCAAACATCTCTGAGCAAGCACAGGGCCACCACAAACTCAAAGGAAAGTAGCCGTCCCAGAACACGAAGCCTCCTTTGGGCCCCAAGTTCTCATTCAGCAGACCCTTCTATCCTGCCCCCCACCCCCAACCCTAGCCAGGCTCCTTCCAAACACTTGTTTAACTTCACAAACATCTGAAAAGATGATGGCTTGGGAAGCAGCAGGAAGTGGGGAAATAAGGCAGTTTAAAGAAAAGAAGGCACACAGGGTGGGAAGCAGGGTGGGAAGCCAGGGGTGTGAGGAGGCTGGCAACTGGAGGCTGGTGGCTGGAGGCTGGTGACACTGACAGCAGCTCTCAGTGCAGCTCAGACACAGCTGCTGGCTGCTGCCACTCCACAACTTCAACAATAGCGGGGCAGCCGTCTGCCCAGTGGCTGAGATGCCAGCCCGCCCTGCTGGGGCCGAGGAAGGAGCGGGGGGGGGGGGGGGGGGGGGTGGAAGGGGGGAAAGAGAGAGCCCCGCACATGCCAGGCAGCTATGGCTAGAAACCTCGAACCACAAATGCATGGTGCCCAGTGCTGGCAGACAGCACACACCCTGCACGCCAAGCCTCCAGCCCCATCCTCAGCAGGGGCCCCATGAGGGTCGCTCACCCCCAGCTTCCTGCTCTTCATCTTCACGTAGCCTTGCTTGACGATGTCGTTGAAATTGGTCGCCATGGTTGCCCGGCCGTGTTTGGGATGCGGGGCTGGGCCCAGGAGGCTGGGAGGGGCGCCCAGGTGGCCTGGCCTTTGGCTCCTCCGATCACCTGTTCCAGACGCTCTGCTCAGTCGGGTTGGGTCTGTCCGGGCTCTCCTCACCTGGCCTACCTCAGCATTGTTCTAGCTCTTTCCGCTCACCACTGCTGGGAACACAAATGACGGGGAGATTAGAGACAGTGACATCTTTCTCTTCCCCTCGCTGTCTCCCTGTCTCCCGGCTCGGCTTCTTTTTTCTTCCTCTTCCCACACTGCTCCTTCCCTCCCTCCACCCAGCCTTCCTCCCGTGCTCCCCACCCCAGCGCGGCAGAACCATTCAGGAAAACCGAGGTGGAAGCTGGGCGAGGAAAATGGTCCAGCCCAGTCCCCTCCCTCACGCTGGGGCTGGCAGTTAACCCCTTCCTGGGAGGGCTGGCTCCGCTCCTGCTGTGGAGGTTAGCCAAGGAAGGGAGCAAGCTGGGCCCTGGGCCTGCCCTCCGTCCTGTTACAACTTTGGGGTAGACTCGGGGTACCCACCAGGCACACCCTACCCCTGCTTGCAAGACTTCAGGGGACGCTTCCGGAGAGAGGGAGGACCCAGCTCCTGGAGGCTGAAGGTGAGCTGTTGAAGTGGCCTCCGCAGCCCCCCCGAGCCCGCGCCCACCCTGTCCTGTACCTGGCTCCTCTAGCCGCGGGTGGGAGGCTGGGGCTCACCAGCTCAGGCCCTGCCCTCCTGCCCCAGGCCCTGCTTTCAGCAGCTTCTCTGGGAGCTGCTTCCTGGGTGGGAGGGCAGAGTCCAGGGGGGCGGGTCCCCAGATAAGTCTGAGGAATGTGCTGGGCTGGCCAGAGGTGGCCACTGTGGAAGCAGACACAGGGCCCTGGCCCTGGGCAGAGGGGGCCAGTCTGAGGGTAGGGCCAAGGGCCCCAACTGACACTGGGTCTGGTGTGCCCAGCAGTACCTGTGTTCAGAGCATGGACAAGAGTTAATTACAGTGAGAACTTGCCAAGGCCTGGGTACAGGACACAGCCCCCAGGTGGCAGAACTGAATGCCAGCAGGAAATGGGAACACAGGCAAGTCTATAGACAACATAGACACAGACTCAGAGAGATCTCAGCAATGACCCTGACTAACATCCTCATTTTATAGCTGAGAAAAGAAAGTTGCTCAGAGAGGGTAAGCTATCAGACTAAGGACACACAGCAAGCCCAGGGCACCCAGCCAGGGATGGATGAGAAGTTCTGGAAGGGTGATAGAAACCAGCCTGGAGATGGAATGTCATCCTGCGGCCACCTCTGGCTGCTTCCTGCCATGGAGCCTCAGGGGCAGGCCATTAACACAGCTTCCGTGACTCCTGGGCCTCGGGTACGAATGTAGGAATATTTCTGAGGTGAGCTGGGTACTCTGCTGCCAAGTGGGGTCCCCAGGGCAAGCTCGCTGGGTCCACCCCCAGCTTGTACTAATTCACTGCCTAGAGGTGTTAACAAGGGCAGATGCCACAAGGGGAGGAGCTAAGAGAAATACTCTCCTTCCCCTTCTACATCCTCCCCCCAGCTCCTCAGGGCCCCTCTGCCACCCACTTCCTCAACCACACTCCTGGGGCCCAAGATCACCACCACCACCACTGGCACACGTCTTCCTCCTGGCAAGTCTTCACCAATACTGCCACACCTGGGTCCCAGCAGTCCGAGGGGCCAGTTCCCCAGCTCTGCCTGTTCTGCTGGACCAGCTCTAAGGAGGGGCTCCCCTCCAGTGTGATCCAAAAGGCTGGCTGCTGGCTGCGGTCCACGGACAGAAGAAGCCACCAGGCTTATCAAGGTAGGCTGGACACGGCACAGCCAGAGTATGAGTCCAGTAGGCTGTGTGTGTGGTCCTGAGCATGCCATGTAATAATAGTTCTATGCCTTGCTTTCCCCACTGGTTCCAAATTGAAGACTAAATCTGTGTACTTCAAGGAGGAAGTAAAGCCATTCTCAACCCAGAATCTCTGCCTTGAAAACACCAAGGTCTCTGTTTGATGCTCTTTTGTGGTTCGATTTCTTTTCTTTGTTGCTTTTTCAAAGGCTGCTGCCCGGTCGGAGCTGTGAGACCACCACACAGTAGGTGCCCACCTGCCCAACAGCAGCCAACTCCTTCCTGGCTCCATCAGCCACTCTCTCCACACCACAGTAGCCACTGGGACAGGCTGCCCAGCTCCCAGAGCACCCTGCTGCATCTGCCACAGGCTACAGCCCCAGAACCAAGGCCTGATCAGGGACACTGGACATTGTGGGAAGCCTGAGGGGAGAAGAGCTGAAGTCCTAGTGGCACTCAGTCCCCTAGAAAGGTCTGCAGGAGCCAAGAGCCAGCCTGGGACCAAAAAAGTGTGGCAAAGCAGAGCTGGGAAGGTAAGGAAGAGGCCCAGAGGCTGACCTGTGCCTATCTGACCTCCAGAGGGAATAAACCAGGTTAAACAGGAGAGGTGGTCCTCAAGCTGCCCCCTGAGGGCCCAAGAAGAATCAAAAAGTAGGGGGCAAGCCAGGGCTACGATGGCTCACGCCTGTAATCCTAGCTACTCAGGAGGCTGAAATCTTAGGATCACAGCTTGAAGCTAACCCTGGCAGGAAAGTCTGGGAGACTCTTTATCTCCAATACTACTCCGAAACTATTCAGAAAGGGCAGGAAGTGGTGCTATGACTCAAGTGGTAGAGTGCTAGCCTTGAGCACAAAGAAGCTCAGGGACAGAGCCCAGGCTCCAAGTTCAAGCCCCAAGACCAGCAAAATGCTGAAACAAGGATACAGGTTGACCCATTGTAACAGTGAGATGAGACATACAAGACACTATGTTGGAAATGAACTTTACAACTTGGAGGTGGGGAGAGAAGGGAGAGTAGGAGAAAAACAAAGGGGGGTGTAACAATGGATAGGAGATGTACTCATTACCTTCCTCATGTAACTATAACCCCTCTGTACAGTATCTTTACAGTAAATTTTTTTTAAAGTAGGGGGCAGATAATGCATCAGATGCATTGTACAGATAAACTGCTTTGTTAAAAGGCAAAAAAAAATTCAGTACATAAGCTGGGTGCTGGTGGCTCAGGCCTGCAGTCCTAGCTACTCGGGAAGCTCAGATCTGAGGATCATGTTCAAAGCCAGCAGGCAGGAAAGTCTTTGAACCTCTCTCTTATCTCCAATTAATCACCAGAAAACTGGAAGTAGAGCTGTGGCTCGGAAGTGGTAGAGCCTATCCTTGAGCAAAATAGCTAAGGACAGCACCCAGGCCCTGAGTTCAAGCCCCATGACTGATATACGTGTGTGTGTGTGTGTGTGTGTGTGTGTGTGTGTGTATAAAACCATGAAATTCAATACATAATCTAAAATTATGTAAGGAAGGGAGGGTTAGAGGAATGGGTGAGAATGCTTAACAGGGTTACATTGTTCAAGATGCTTTGTATTCATAAACTGCTTTGGTGGATGGCAACTCCTTTGTACATCTACTTCAAGATAATAAAAATATACAAAAATATATATATATATATATATAACTGGGGCAGTCCTTTCCCCTGCCCACTCTGGGCCACTGTCCCTATTGCTCCTAAGCCACCACCAACACCCACCAATGAGAGGATGTGAAGTCTCAGCTTCCCCCAGCACTGGGCGTGGGACCTGTGAACTCTGCATGGCCAGAACTAGCTGACTGTCCACCAAACCAGCTTGTGGTTCTGGAGGGGGAACAAGGGCCTTCCATCCTTCCCCCCAGCCTTATGCAGCTGCTAGACAGGGACAGTAACTGTCCTAGAGGCTGGGCCACCACAGACTCCTTCACAGAGGCAGCTCTGGCCCAGCTGGGAGGGGTTCTTTTCCCCTGGAAGGGCAGGCAGGTGGGGAGGGCTCAGCAAAGGGGCAGGGCCCTCTCGGTCTGTCTGCCCCGTTGGGCACGCACTTGGAGCTCCCTCCCTGGATTCTGCCTGGAGGCTTTGGCTCCAGAACAAAGCTACTTGCTGAGGCTGGAGCCAATGGCAGAGCAGAAGCGGCTGCCTGGCTGGGCCTCCCCCCCCCCCTGCCAATGATCGGATCTTATCAAGGCTTGGGGAACAACCCTACCTGGACTCACTGTCATCTGGCTCCACCCATAGGAAGATGCTATCTGCAGGGTGGGTTCTCCCAACCTGGGCCACTTGCCCTGCCTACCCTTCTGGCCCTCTCTCCTCCAAGGAGATTTTTATCAGGGGCCAGCAGGGAGTATCTGCCACTTTCAAGATCTACATCCAAGGAGCCACTATCCAAAACATAGCAGGTCCTATCCAAAGTAGGTGGCAGACAGATCAAATACCCAGGTGGGCAGAGGCTCGACATCCAAACAGCCAAGGAAAGTGGTGCTGTGCCCTACGTCACTGCCTGTGCCCTCTCGACATCCTCCGCCATCACTCCATAGGCCAGACTCTTCCACAAAGGTCAACTTCACTTCCTGTCCATCTTTAACCCCAGTCTCTCACACAGCCCAGTTCACTCCAAAGCTGCCTTCCTATCTCTGCTCAAAGGCTGCCTCCTCTGAGAAGCCTTCCCTGACTGCCCGGGTCCAAGAAGCCCTGCTGGGTAGCTCCCTTGAGACGCCTCGGTATACTGTCCTGTCACTCATGTCACTGTGGGGTTTTCTAATTCCTTCATCTGTGTCACAGGCCTGGAGAGACAGCTTCCTTCTGTCCAGGTATCTCTGTCAGTTTCGACTCCATCCCAGCTCCTAGAACGCTGACTAGGGCAGCCAGAGCTCAATCTGGAGGCCAAATAATGCCTCTCCCCAGAAGTGCCCTCATCCTTGCTCCCTCCTCCACCAACACCCACCCGGACCAACACAGGCTCCCCCTCTCCCTTCTCAGGGCCAGCAGGGCCAGCTGGGCCTCCGTGAACAGCCTGCTGCTGTGTCCGGTCCTGAGGACGGGGCTAGGTGGCCCCCACCATGGCTGGATTTGTGGGTGGGGTCCTGTCCAGCCTGCTGCCTTCCGGGGAGCCCAGGTAGAAAGAGATGATTGACTAGGTGACCCATCCCAGAAAAGGAGCAGAAACAGCCCGAGCCAGAACCAAGTCCCTCTGAAAGGGACCAAGAAACACTACACAAGGCCCAGCCCCTAACCTCTGCTGGCCGGTGTGCTGGAACTGACTCTGGGGAGCCAGACTGTCTTCATCAGACTCCTGCACTCCTAGGACTTCATCCAAGTGCCTGGAAAACTGTCCTGCCCCTGAGTTCTAGGCCAGCTCCACAGAGCTGGGCTCTGCCCGTGTCACCTGGGTGCTCAGCCCCTGTCCCCTCTGCGGTGGACCAAAAGCACTTGGCTGGAACCAGGGCTCTGCTGGGGTAGGGAGGGGGTGGACAGGACCTGGGGTCAGGGAAGAAAGGTTCAAGGGCAGGAGGCAGCTGGCCGTGGGGCAGAGCTAGGCGTGGGAGCCCCGTTTGCAGGTGGGGTGCCCACTGGGGGTAAAGAAACGTTTCCTGGAATGTGGAGTAGAGGGAGCAGGTGGCCAAAGGCAGAGAAGATGGGGGGGGGGGGCCTGCCAGGCGCTGGGCTGGGCCCCTCAGGAACCAGGCCGCGCGGGGTCCTGACCCGGACCCCTAAGAGGACAGCGGGAGTGGGGACAGCTCAGCGGGAGTTTCGGGGCGCACGTGGTGACTCGGGGGGCGCGACGCCCTGTCCCCTCGGGGAGCACGTCTCCAGGGCCGCGAAGCCCGCGCGTCCAGCGTGGGGGGTGAGGGTGCCGGGGTCGGGGCGCGCCCGGCGCGGCCTACGCTCCCCGCCCCGCTTCGCACCCCCCCATTTACCTGCGCTCCGAGGCCCGAGCCGGCGGGGCCGCGGGACACACTCATGCCCGCGTCAGCTGGCGGCCGGCGGGGGCGGCTGGGCGGTGGCGGCGCCGGGCTCCGGGCGGAGACGCGAGGGAGGCGCGGCGGCGGCGGCTGGGGCTCGGCTCCGGCTGCGGCTCGGCGGCGCGGCCACCTCCACGGGCTCCTTCGCCCCGCCCTCGGCGCCCGCCCCGGGCCCGCCCATCTCCACGCCCCGCCCCCGCCCGGTCTAGCCACGCCCACTTCGTCCTCCCGGACCCGCCCCTGCCGTATTCCTCCGAGCCGCAGGGCCCGCTCTTCCTCCAGGTGCCCCACCACTTCAGGGAACGCTGGATGCCTAGCCCCACCTGGATCTATTCCTGGATCCTAACGCTCGAACAGAGAGACCATGGCGGCTTCTACCTCCAAATCTCGCCTCCATATCAACTCCCAGCCTCAAATCTCACCTTAACTGTGCACCCTGAAACAAACAAATGCTTCCAGGCCTCGTCACAGTCCACGTTTCTCAGAGGAACCAGCATCCCCCTGGCACCATTCCTAATGCTTCAGCCTGGCCCAGGGAACTAATAAGAGGCCACCGCCTTCCCTCTAAAATGGGTCACTGAAGCCCCATCCAGCAGCCTCCAGTCCTGAGCTGCAGCTAACCAGTCCCAGACTGCTGGACAAGGAGGGAGCTTTTCCTATTCCTAAGCAGCCTAGCTGGTCTGAACCTCGACCTCCTGACCTCCCCCAGGCAGCTGCCAAACCTGACCCCACCTGCTCTGCTTCAAACCACAGCCTGTAAAGGCCCCAGCACTTGATTCATCAAGCAAACTGCTTTCACCCCAGCCACCTCTGGAGGAGTTCAATCCACAACAAAGGACCAGGCTTCACAAGACAAAGGCATCTACCATCTCCAGACAGTTTCCCAAAACTTCTTCTCAGCTTCAGAGGCTTTGCTCAAAACTTCTCTATTTTCTGAACTATTGCCACCTCAATTTTCTTCATCTAAAAAAAAAAAAAATTACAATGGTGCTAGTGGCCAGCTACCCGAGACATAGAAATCTGAGGATCCAAGTTCAAAGCCAACCCTGGCAGGAAAGTCTGTAAGCCTTTTATCTCCAGTTAACCATCAAAAAGCCAGAACTGGGCAGGTCACCAATAGCTCACACCTATAATCCTAGCTACTCAAGAGGCTGAGATCTGAGGATCTAGGTTCAAATTTAACCTGGGAAGAAAAGTCGGTGAGACTCTTATCCCCAAGAAGGCACCAGAAAACCAGAAGTGGAGCTAAGGGCTCAAAGTGTTAGAATACTGTCCTTGAGCAAAAGAGGTCAGGGACAGTGCCCAGGCCCTGAGTTCACCCACAATTGACCGACGACAACAACAACAACAACAACAAAAAAGCCAGAACTGGAGGTGTAGCTTAAGTGGTAGAATGTTAGCCTTGAGCAAAAAAGCCAAGTGAGAGCACAAGGCCATGAGTTCAAGCCCCAGTATCTACACAAAAATTAGTTAAGCCTTTTTTGGAGGGGGGGGGGCTTTCATTAGAGATAAGAGTCTTATGGAGTTTTCTGCTTGGGCTGGCCTCCAACCATAATCCTCAGGTTTCAGACTCCTGTGTAGCTAGGATTATAGGCATGAACCACTAACACTCAGCTTTTCTTCTTTTTCTTTCCTTCCTTTAAGAAAATTGTTTTTAGAGAGTCTTGCTATGTACTGCAGGCTGACCTAGGACTCTCCATCCTCCTTCCTCTACCTCCCAACTGCTGTGGTGACCCCACCTTAAACTTACTTGGAGATGTCTGTAGATGGCCATAATCATGTATTACATCAGGCATTCATTGAGATGTGATGCATGGAGAGTTGGTTGGTAATGTCTTTCAGAGAAGTACCATACAACTTCCCACCCAAATACTGATTTGGGATGGTGATAGGGAAGATTTCCAGCACCACACAGACCCCTCCTATGCCTCTTGCATTGCTAATCCCCATTCTTTCGGTTGCAGTCATAAATACGGAATCTTGGAGTAGCTTTTGTCACCTAGTAATCTGGCAATTTATCCAAATCCAAATCTACAGGTGAATGGGTAATTTGTTCTTGTGCAGGAGGCTGTGGTGTGGACTAACCACTGTGTGCGTAGTGATGCTTTCCTTCTGGGACAGCTGGGCTGTTTCCAGTTCAGAGTGACTGTGAAGAAAGCTGCTATGAACATCACATGTTGCTTCTCCTGTGAACATATGTCTTCTCTTTGGGAGGGATGCCTGAGGCCTAATTGCTGTTGGACAATGTCTGCATACTACAGAGGCTTTTTGCTTGGTTGGTTGGTTGGGTATGAGTGTCTTTTTTTGTGTGTGTGTCAGTTGTGGGGCTTGAACTCTGAGCTTGGGCGCTATCCCTCAGCTCTTCAGCTCAAGGTGAGCGCTCTACAGCTTGAGCCACAGCACCACTTCCGGTTTTCTAGTGGTTTTTATTGGAGATAAGAGTCTCACGGACTTTCCTGCCAGGGCTGGCTTTGAACCGTGATCCTTAGATCTCAGCCTCCTGAGTAGCTAGGATTACAGGTGTGAGCCACCAGCGCCCAGCGCTTTGGCTTTATTTTATTCTTGTTTTCCTGAAGTTGGCAGCTTGGATTATAGGCTTAGGACTTTTTCCTCTTTCACTGTATGTTCATTTAGTACAAGAACTTTCCCTTTGAACATGGATTTGTGTGTATCTTACAAATATTGATATTTTATTTTTGTTTTTTTATTCAATTAACAGCATTCTAAATTTCTGGATTTTGTTTTTGTATTTTGTGGTTTTTTTTAGTGCTGGTTCTGTGGCTTGAATTCAAGGCCTGGGCATTGTCCTTGTGATTCTTTTTGCTCAAGGCTAACACTTTACCACTTGAGCCACAGTGCCACTTCCAGCTTTTTCTGAGTAGCTTATTAGAGATAAGAATCTCATGGACTTTTCTGTCTGGGCTGGATTTAAGTTGCAATCCTCAGATCTTAGCCTTCAGAGTATCTAGGATTATAGACCTGAGCCACCAGCACCTGGCTTCTAACTTTCTTTTGATTCTTCCTCAGCTCTTCAGCTCAAGGCTAGTGTTCTACCACTTGAACCACACCGCCACCTCCAGCTTTTTCTGCTTATGTGGTGCGGAGGAATCAAACCCAGAGCCTCATGCATGCAAGACAAGCACTCTACCACTGAGCTACTTCCCAGCCCCAGATTGTTAAATTTCTAAGCAACTGAAAAATTGTTTCCACTATCTCTGTGTTTTCTTTTTGATGCAGGTTCTAGGACTTGAACTCTAGGTCTGGGCCCTCTTCCTGAGCTCTTTGTTCAAGGCTAGTGCTCTACCACCTGAGCCATAGCTCTATTTCTAGCTTTTTGGTAGTTAATTGAAGATAAGAATCTTATGGGCTTTTCTGCACCAACTGACTGCCATCCTCAGATCCCAGACTCCTTAGTAGCTAGAATTAGAGGCATGAGCCACATCACTGGCTTTCAGTCTTTTTTAATTTGCTGAAGTTTGTTTAGTGCCCAAGTTATGGTCCATCTTGGTGTAAGTTCAAGGCAATTCGAATCAATGGATCTTCTGCTGTTTCAGAGTGGAATGGTCTATAAATATCCCTTTGATCCTGTAGTCTGGTAGTTCTTCTATCTCCTTTCTGAATTTCTAAGTGTCCTCTAAGTAGTTGAGAGGGAGAATTTATATCCAGCTACACTTGTGGATTTCTTCATTTCTCCTTTCAATTACACCAGTTTTGTTCCACAAATCTTTTTTTTTTTTTTTGTGGGTGTGGGGCTTGAACTCTGGGCCTGGGCGCTGTCTCTCAGCTCTGCAGCTCAAGTCTAGGGCTCTACCACTTGAGCCACAGTGCCACTTCCTGTTTTTCTGGTGGTTTCTTGGAGATAAGAGACTGATGGTCTTTCCTGCCCAGGCTGGCTTTCAATTGCAATCTTCAGACCTCAGCCTCCTGAGTAGCTAGGATTACAGGCATGAGCCACCAGCACCCGACTTGTTCCACAAATCTTGATGTTTGGTATTTGTACATTTAGGATTGTTACGTGTTCTTGGTACATTGACTTTTTTATTATTATATAATATCCTATTTCTGAAAATTTTCTTTAGTCTGGAATCTTCTTTTACTGATATTAATGTCATTTCTATTGTTTTCACTGATTAGTGATTTCATGATGTATCTTTTCTTTAATTCAAAGCTTCCATATGTCATTATATTTGAAATAAGTAGGCATTATATTTTAAAACCAAACCTTCCAATCTCTCTAATTGCTGCATTTAGGTCATTTTTTTTTCGGGGGGAGGGGGAGTCCAGTCGTGGGGCCTGAACTCTGGGCCTGGGGGCTGTCCCTCAGCTCTTTAGCTCAAGGCTAGCACTCTACCACTTGAGCCACAGAACCACTCCCAGCTTTTGTCTTTTTGCTTATGTGGTGCTGAGGAATCAAACCCAGGGCCTCATGCATGCAAGGCAAGCACTCTACCACTGAGCCACCTTCCCAGCCCTAGATCATTTGTATTTAATGGACTTACCCGAGCTGCTAAGGCTTCAGTTGGCTGTTTTGTTTATTTTTTCTTTTGTTGTGTTTTTTATTGTGTGGTTCTTTTCCTGTCTTCCTGTGCGAAAATTCCATTTTAATTTACCTGTTCTATTTTTGCATGTATGGGTTAGTGTCTTTACAGTTGAACTAGGTACTGCCTACAGGTATGGTCACTTTTCCAATCTGAGTGAAGTTTAGAAACATTACTTCTCTTGGGGAGTATAACATTTGCACTCTCCAATTTAAATTCCCTCTACAAACATTTAGATTTGATAAGATGGTGCATTATCATTATTACTACTACTACTAGTATTGCTAGTTCTGGGGACTTGATTTTAGGGCCTGGGCACTGTCCCTGAGCTGCTTTTTTTTGCTCTCTACCATTTAGCATTTTTTTTTGCACTCTACCATTTGAGCCACAGCACCATTTCTGGCTTGCTCTGTTTATGTGGTACTGAGGAATTGAACCCAAGGCTTCATGCATGCTAGACAAGCACTCTGCCACTAAGCCACATTCCTATCCCTGGTGCATTAATTTTTATCTTAGCTGTAAAAACACAATTTAGAAAATTCAAAGGAAGAAGGAGGTCTATTATATTTGC